GCGAAAATATGAGTGTCTGATATGCTGTAAAATATGGTACTTAGTTTTAAAATTGTACTTGAAATATTTTTAATCCTTAGAATTTATATATATATATTATACAGATGCCATTGATACAGAAGTTGCAAATAATTCTCCTTTTTAAGGTATCAATTCAACCTGTAGCAGATTTGGAGATTGTCCCATCAGTGGTGGAAGCCGAAATTGCCGATTCAGTTATTGTACCTCTTCGTTTCTATGGTTATGAAGATCCGGGTAGGTATTATTTAAAATTCTTTTTCCAATACGATATCTTACCTCCATTCACAAAATAGCTTTTCTCGATTAGTACTCCCCTCTATCGGCACAAATTTTCAATGCTCGCCACTAGCCTTCCAACTCCCTCTTCTGCATATCCACATGTAAAAGATTATGCAGCAGCTCTCCATCAATAGGAGTGCGACACAACCCCTATCACAACCAGTGCCCTCTCCATATTTGCAATTGTTAATCACATCATGGTTGACAGTAGTACTTGCTTGTTTTTGTCGGAAATTTTCTTTTATACTACCAACTTAGGTTTTCTTTGCCAAGTTTTTGTTATTTCTCTATTTACAAGTGCCTTTTTGTTAGTGTATTGTCGATCTCGCTCTGTGGCAAGTGATGCCTGACCAGGTATACTTTCTTTTTTATTTAATTTGCACTGTCCATCCTGTGACCATGCTCATTGTCAATTACATTTTAGCTCTTCCTACCACAGACCTGATGTACAATTCCAGATGATGGTTGTGTGTCTCCATTCAATTGTCCTCTATGTCGAAACAATTGTGTCACAGGGTTAGATTACGCACACCATAGTGATGTGGTGTTCTGTAGAACTGCTAGTAGTTCTCTATAGTGGTCTTTTGCTTCATAAATATGCGTGTCTCAATCGTATACTCACAGACACGCATGAGTAAAGCAGACAGGGATTCCTGCCCATCTCTGATGCTCTGTGGTGTTGAAAGTTTTCCTACTGTGGACCTGATGTATACTCCAGATACTACCAGTTAGTGAATTTAGTACTATGCTATATTAATGTGTGTGTGTGTGTGTGTGTATATATATATATATATATATATATA